GAGGGTGAGCCCCCACCGGCGGGAGCGGGTGCGCGTGCGCGAGGGCGGGACGTCTGCGCGGACTCGTGGCTGCCGGCACCTGGTTCGCCGTGCTGTCTCCAGCTCTCTCTACCGGCGAGGCTTGCCGTGCCTTTACTCCTGCCTGCTACGGCGTCGCCTCTCCCTTCTCCATGAGGTAAATATGTGGAGGGAATAATGCCTATTAAAGGTAAAGGAAAGAGGAACAGTATGAATGAAGAAGAACCCGGTAGTTGCCATCGTCATCATCAGCCGGAGCACTCTGGCTGCTGAACGCTTTATATGTGGTTCTCTGGTCTCAAGGCCTGCTTTCCTTCAACATTCTGGAATCTCGGCTTAGTTCTCCTGAAGTTTTCTCCACCAACACAAATAGAAGACCCGAAGACTCCCTAGTTCAATTGAAAAGACAAAAAGATAGTAATAAAAGCTGAGCCCCTTTCCCAGCTGCTGCCAAGGTGCTTGGTACTTCCAAGGAATCTCAGGCAGCACTGAGGGGGAGGCCCCCACTTCATCCAGAGACTAGCACCACTCCCTGCAGCTCCAACCCCACACTCATTATGCACTCAGTGCGCTATGACCTCCTACCTACTAGGCCCTCATTCTGCATGACATCAAGGTGATGTCAGGGAAGATAAGATCAATGCCCTCATTAAAGCAGCTGGTATGAATGTTGGACCTTTTGGACCTGGCTTGTTTGCAAAGACCCTGGACAATGTCAACATCCGGAGTTTCCTCTGCAGTGTGGAGGTTGGTGAGCCCGCACCAGCATGAGGTCCTGCCTTTTCCACTGCTGCTGCCCCAACTGAGAAGAAAGTAGAAGCAGAGAAGGAAGAATCTGAGGAGTCTGATGATGATATGGGCTTTGGTCTGTTTGATGAACAGGTTTTATAACATATTCGACCAAAAGCTGAACTCTTAAAAAAAAAAAAAAGAAAAACTAACCTGAGGAACTGTGTGATACTCTATATACATATAATTCTGGACTAAAAGCCAAGCATGCAAAGAAGGTATGAGTTAACTCCTCTTCCACCCCCCCCCAAAAAAACAGTAATGTGTCCGACTCTTGATAACAGTTTATTTATAGAGAGACAGCCAATGGTGATTCACTTATGCTCTTCACTGGCCAGACCACATCTGTAGTGCTACATTCAGCACTTTTAAAATACCTCAATCAAGTTGGAATTATTTCAGCGACAAGCAAAGTCATGAAGAAAACTCAAACGCATGACAAGTGAAGTATTGAGCAAACCTGCCAGGATTTGTGTAGGAGAAATCTACTGAACTAGCTCCAAATATAAAAAGACCTGTTTTTGAAGTCAATTTGTTTCATGTGATGCAAACTTGAGGAAACATTCTGAATCCTGAAAGGAAGATGCCCTTCTAGCACCAGCCAAAGAAGTTGTCTACCTTAGCATGTAGGAATGCCTCAACTGGTAGGTTTGACCAGTAGATTCTGAGTGCTCACTTAATAGGGACTTGGTGCAGGAGAGCCACACATCAAGAGAAGAATTAGTTGATAGTTTTTTTTAACATTTCCAACCTTGAGATTAAATGTGTCTGTGGTCCTGGACTTCAAAGAGTTTACAAGTTAGTTTACAAGACAAGACAAATGCATCCAAAAATAAACAATGAAAGGAGGCCACATGATGAGAGGTGCTAATAGTAAATGCTAGAAATTCACATGACAGGTGTTTTCCATCACAGTTTCAGAGGCTTAAGAGAGAAGAAAGAAATGGAAAATATGCTGCTGGAACTGCCCTATGCAGTGTGGTAGCCACTAGCTAAATGAGAGTATTAACACTTGAAAGGTGGCTTATTTAAATTGGCATGCATTAAGTTCAAAATACACACCAGATTTCAAAGACTCAGAAAACAAATGTAAAATGTTGTAATGTCTATATTGATTGCATGTTGAAATAATATTTGGTATATATTGGGTCAAATAAAATATATTAAAATTAATTTCAATGGGTTTTTTTTTAATACTTCTTAGTTTGACGAGTCCAAAATTTAACATTGCCAGGCACAATGGCTCATGCCTGTAATTTCAGCACTTTGGGAGGCAGAGGCAAGAGGATTGCCTGAGTCCTGAGTCCAGGGGTTCAAGACCAGCCCAGGCAACTTAGCAAGACCTCGTCTCTACAATAAATTAAAAACTTAGCCAGGTGTGGTGCCTCACACCTGTAGTTCCAGCTACTTGGAAGGCTGAGGCAGAACTATCACCTGAGCCCAGGCATGAATATGCCACTGCACTCCAGCCTGGATGAGACTCCAACTCAAATAAATAAATATTTTTAAGTTGCGTAAGTGGCTTGCATCGTACTTCTATTAGACCTTACTGGCCTAGGAGGAAATACTGTTGACCCTTCATAGCTGTGGGTTCTGCATCTTTGTATTCAACCAACCCCGGAACAAAAATTCTTTTTTAAAAATTGGATGGCTGTGTTTGTACTACCTGCAGACTTTTTTTCTTGTCATCATTCTCAAATACAGTATAACTATTTACATACCATTTACATTGTATTAGATATTATCAGTAATCTAGAGATGATTTAAAATATGTGAGAGGATGTGCATAGGTTATATACCCCTTGGGGGGTTTTCAAAAAAGAAAAAAAAATCAAGAGATGGGATCTTGCTATTTTGCCCAGGCTGGAATTCAGTGGCTATTTACAGGCTCAGTCATTACACACTACAGCCCTAAACTCTGGCTCAAGTGATTCTTCTGCCTCAGCCTCCTGAGTAGTGACTATAGGCACCGTGCCCAGCTTCTCTAAATGCCAGTGGACTATCTAATGGAAATGGTCCTAATAAAGGGGAAGAAGACTGTCCAGAAAGTATGCATGAGCAAAGCCAAGAAACAAGACTATAGCTGCATTCTAGATAATGAGCAACTTGTTTGTCTATAATGAAACATTCTTAATAGAAGGTAGTGATAATAAAAGGATGTTTAAAAGTATGGAAACTCATCTACATAGACTAATTTTGATTTCAGGGAACTTAGTAATTATGGGCAATTAGAGTTTTGCATCTACAAGATGGAATTGTAAGGGTTGTCTTGGCAGCATTGAGTAGGGTGGGTTGAAATTAATTGATGACTGGGAAACCTACTAAAACTCACTGCATTTAAATATGTGTCATACCAAAAAAAAGGCTCAGTAGAGGATTGATTAGGCACATCTCTAAAGTGGAATACTTTACATGCACTAAAAAAGTGTGATGTGAATCTGTATTGCTTGATATGGGAATATAGGATGTACAGTTGAATGAAATAGTTTGTAAAACAATATATATAGAATATGAACCCATTAATGTAAAACTGTATATCTGTGTGTTTTCCGTGTGTGACAGAAACATTTTACTTATCTTAAAATTGTCTCAGAAACAAAATCTCAAGGCAGAAGTGTTGCCAGTCTATTTTCAGTGGTCCAACAAAGTCATCCATGCTTTTGACTTTTTTCTTTTTTCTTTTGTCTTTTTTTTTGAGTTGGAGTCTCACTCTGTCACCCAGACTGGAGTGCCGTGGCTGCTCCCGGCCACCGCAGCCTCGACCTGTTGGGCTCTGGTGATCCTTCCGCCTCAGCCTTCCAAGTAGCCGGAATTACAGGCATGCACTACCATGCCCAGCTGGTTTTTTGATTTATTGTAGAGATGAGGTCTTGCTGCCCAGGCGAGTCTTGAACCCGCGGGCTCAGGCAATCCACTCACCTCAGGCTCCCAAAAGCGCTGGATTACAGGCTGAGCCACCGAGCCAGGCTTGACTTTTTTCATTTCTATACATATTTCATTATCCTTAGTATGTTAGCCTTTCATTCTCAGACTTCTCAATTCATGGGTTGTCAGGATGGGCTGCCAAATATCAGAACCATTTTATAGACCAACAGTCTCTGAGTTATCTCCTTCAATATGTATGTCCACTGATTCTGTTCAGCTGACCAGTGTCCCATAGCTTCTAAACTTTTCTTGGTTTACCTATTCTAAATCAGTTCTTTTTTCTTGCCTTTTTTTGTCCTTGCTCTATCCTGAAATTCTGAGTTTCAAAATTCCAAAATTCCAGTTCCTTATCTGGAGTTGATGCATTAATCAATGTACTAATGATTCAGTTCTAAAATTAGTTTTCCTATCCTTTTGAATACATGATATTGGGAAGGGAAAAAAAATAGAGTTACTACTATGGCAGACACTGTTGTTTGCCTACCCAACCATCATTCCTCTCCTCTTCCTTAATTAATAGGATGCTTTTGTCAAAATACCACACAACTCAAGAAATGTAAGCTCCTTTCATTATCCTGGAAGTAATTCCATTTCCCTATAATTAAAAAATGCTGTAAAGTTGGTAATGTGGCCAAGGGACAATCAGGTATAGAGAATTCTGCAATATTTCACCCAGATTTCAAAATATATGATTATAATATATAGGGAGTTTTTCTTGGATTATTGTTTAAGATGGTGGACTGACTTGGCTTATAATTTGCCTACTATTTTTTTTCCTAGACAGCACAAAAATAAAAATGTTGATGTAGAAAAATGAGGAATAAGTAAAAGTATGCATTTCTGTATGCATGTATTTAGGTGAATGAGAGAAAGTAAGTGGAAAAGGTGAGAAAAGCAAATGAAATTTTAACAATTTCTTAGAAAAAAAAGCAATTAATAGTGTTTGACCATTAATAACACCCAAAATCACAACCTAAAAAAAATAGTAT